CTTGGTTTCCTCATTGATAAAAGTATTCTTTCATCCATGCCTACAAATGCTGATTGACTATTCACTATGTACTTAGTCCCAGTTTCCAACCCTCGGGATAATACCAAGAAAAAAATGCAGGCCCTGCTCTCTAACCACACTGAATTAGCGGGGAATGGACAATACATAGGTTGGACACCAGAGAAAGAAGATCTAAGGACACAGAGATAAAATGCTGTACGCACAGAGGGTAGACAGGAGAGTGGGCTGTTTATGCTGCTTGGTCAGAAAGGGGCTGTAAGGTCGTTTACAAGCTAGGTAAGCCGGGCATTTATCTAGAGAAAAGATGATTCCAGATGAAGACACTGGCAGCAGTGAGGAGCCTGAGGCAGGAATGTGTGTGGAAGACTCAGAGAGGAGCAGTAAGAAAACATGGTAAGCCATCCTGGTAGAACAGTGAAGCAGGAGAGACGGTATATGCATGGGGTGTGTGTGTGAAAATTATTCTGAGGTAGAAAGATATAACTAATTGTTATAGAGGTTGGAGTCTAGTTTGTATTTTTCTGAACTCTTGATAACTTGTTGAAAGTAAAATAAAGGTAGATGGAAAATAAAGTAAATAAAAAGATAAAGTAATAAAATAAAATAAAGTAAATAAAAAATAAAGGAAATAAAAAGGAAATAAAATAAATTAAAGAAAATAAAGTAAAATAAAGATAGATTAAAAAATAATAGGGAAACTCTATTCAAAGTGAAGAAGTGGTAAAACAAAAGAATAAACTCAAAACTGACAGTGAGACCTGTTGGTGAGGTAGGAAGAACTCTGACAGTTGTTGGGAGTTTCCTCTTAGGGGCTTCAAGAGAAGGAGTTTGGTTGCTATGGGTGTGGTTTGGGTGGGTCTCTAATTTGACTGGCAAGCTTGGATTATATGAACCTTACTGTGCGTGCCCCTTCCCATAATGTAGGAGAGTTTGATCATTTGCATACTCAATTACTGGCTTACATGCATTCAAAGCTGATTCAGACAGATCAACTGTCCCAGTTTTGTACCCAGATATTGCTACACTATGATGATGAAATCTAAGTTTGATGGTCATTAAGAGGAGGAGTTCCAGGTTGCTAGACTATTCCTTATGCTTGCCTGACTCCAAATGACTGTTTTTATAGGTCATGTGGTTTAACCCAGTATGTGCAGTCTGTTGGTGGTGGTAGCAGTTATTGTTCATGATCACCTGATTATTGCTACCTTAAAAAAGGGGGGAGGGGTTCCTACTATTTTGGCAAGATTAATTGGAAGATATTTCTTCTTTCTACTGAGCCTAGATCTGCTTGCTTCCAGTTTTTACCCAGTGGCCATAGTTTTGACTTCTGCCTTTATTCTCTGTTGGATTCATATATTATCTTCTGGCTCTTCTTAGCAGAGACAGATGGTCTACTCGTCACCATGATACTGACAGCCATCTTTTCCACAGAGCTAAGAGGTGACTGCAGACTCTCAGATACAAATTTTTAGAAGATAAACAGGAGGACATCCCACAGTTAGTGCTTGGCTACGGCCGTGCCAGCCATCATGACCGGGGCTCTTTGCAGTGTGTCCAGATGCAGCATGCACTACTGTGTAAGCCAATCTGGCATTTTAAAAAATTAGCCTTCCAGTATCACAATGACCAGACTCTTTCTGCTATCAGAATCCAGATCTGTATTTGCTCTGGTTTGAGAAAACAGACATGGGTTCTAGCGTAAATGCCACTTACTAGTCATGTGACCTTGAACAAACCACCAAAACTTTCAAGTCTTAGGCATTCACTGAAACTACTTGAGGGTTGAAGACTATTAAGAAGGGACCTATGGAAAGGATAAATCTAGAATTTGTTTAGTCAGTTGGCCAGTCCCTTTCATATATGTGATTAGACATATGTGAATCTTGAGCTTCTGAAATCAGACCCTCAAGGAATGTCTACTATTCTCCATTCTTCATGCCCCATGGGACAGCTAGGAGAAAACATTCAAGCATGGGAGCACTGGTTGACTATATAGGTCTAATGCTGGGATCCAAATAACACTAATGCTGACAAATTCTCAGGCCAGGGAAACACCATTGTATCTGGAGTCTATGATCCTGGTATCCTTTAGGGGTGTTAGAATAGTGGCAAAAATAAAAGTAAATTTTCAGGAGCCTACAAGTTGAAATGCTACGGACCACTTATTTTTACTTAGACCTCATGACTTTTGGGACGATGGCACTGCAGGATTGAGCTCAGAGCCTCATGTATGCTAAGCACACACTGTAGCACTGAGCTACACTCCAGCTGATGACATGGGTTGTGCCTCTGGAGTATTCGATGCAGATCAGAGCTAGAACAAGCATGTAGATCCTTGACTGTGGGCCTTCCCTCCGTGCTGTGCTTCTCTTGTGAGATGTGACACCCAGCAAGCATGTGCTCTGTCTCTCAGTCTTCAAGATCATTGTAGAAAAGGAAGACACATGCAAGTCATTCTTATTTAAAGACTAGTAACAACACTTAGGAGGCAGGGGCAGGTACTGGAAGGGAAGACGAAACTCTGTGAGTTCGAGGCCAGCCTGGGCTACATAGTGAGATCCTGTCTCAAAAAAAAACCAAAAAAAACAAAACAAAACAAAAAGGGACTTATTTGTTCACAGAAGGCCACATGCCACACTAAGTGCTCCTCCTTCACCACCTCAGTAGCCACTCCCGAGCTACCTTCATGAGTGTCCTACCTCCATGATTGCCACTATCACGCTCTCTGTGCAAAAACCCAACTATCATCTTAAAGAGAGTAAAAAGTAATTAATTCTGGAGCCAAATTTGAGTGATCACATTCTGAGAAACACCAGGTTCTGTGTTGCCATGTGAAAGCAATCCATGGAGTTGTATGTAAGAGAACAAAGAAACCATAAACCAAGGAGCAGATGCACTTACCACAAAAAGGAGAGATCTCTCCTATGGCTTCAGATGCCATCTGATGACCATCTTAGCTTTGGGGTCAGTGGGAACTAACGGTCAACTAAGTCAATAGACCTCTAAAGGGGTTTGATCCATCAGTTATAGGGTGCTAGATCCTACACAGAGGTGATGTACAGAGGACTGAAACTAGTCCAAGGCAAGATAATTAGGCTTTGGATCTGCACCATTCCAACCTTTCCACTCAAGTTCTATCAGTCAGTCTTTCCAGACACAGATCTCTTCTAGGAATTCTTGTTCACAGTGATTATTATAACCTGTGTGGTTTCCTGAAGGACCGACAGCTTGAGGGAGGAACTGTAATATGCAAAATAAAACCATGCCCTTAAAAGAAAACACAAAGTTCTTCCTTCTTCCCACAAGTTGATGCCATCTAAAAAATACATCCTCTCTGCCCTTCAGAGCCAAGTTTCTTAGAAGGCATTGTCTTTATTTACCATTCACCTGACATTGTGCTCCGCCTTCCGTTCCTGTGAGCCTACCAAACAGACTGTGCGGCAGTTAGAAGTCTTAATAGTGACTTTTCAATTAGTTCTTCTGCTGTAGTATCATTATTTAAAAACTTAACAACTTTTATATAAACATAAAATGAATTCATGTCAAATTATAATTAATCACCAACAACTGAGGACTATTTACAGTAAGACATCTCAACTGATTCAAAGGAAAAGTCAGACTTATCACATTTATGTAGGAATTCCAAAGTGAATAAATTTACAAGTACAAAACCGAGTTTATCCACAAGAGAGTTAACCCATTGCTTTCTCCTATTAATTCACATTCCAGTGAGCAAGAACCATCAAATTTGTTGCTTTGGTTTGGTTTACAGAGTTCTATGCCAGCGTCATACAACTCAGAAGGTAAGAGGACGCTCAATAATTTCTTGTTCTTTCAAAGAATCTTCTCGGACCATTTTCCCTGCCTTGCGTGCAGCTTCCGGTACTTCAGACCACTCCTCTTTTGCTCTGTTGACCCCTGAGAGAGACCTCCACCTCTGGCCAGTTCTTCTCCGCAGGAAAGGACTTTTAAACGAACCTTTTTATTGGCTCATTGTGACTTTCACATTGTGTACCCCAATCCCACTCATCTTCCTCTCCTGAGGGTTACAGTCAATCAGGGACATGATCAGTTCTCCCACTCTCGTGACCAGCTCCCCTGCTCGCCACTGGTTGGCAAGGGCACAGGGAGTTGAGGGGCTCACTCCCTTGCCTACACCACCACACAGCAGACAAGAGGCAGGGCCAGCTCTCCCACACTCATGCACATAGGGCCAGCTTACCTGCAACCTCCATTTCCAGGATCGCCTCTACTATACTGCCCAGGTGAGGTGCCGGGCTTGCTCTCCCAATTGCTGCCGCAGGAAAGGGGCCCCAGGGGCAGCACAGATCAGGACCCCACCGTGGTCCCAGGTGACATCACCAGATCCTCACGTCAGGCTGTTCCTCACTACCCTCGAGTCTCCAGTCCTGCCTCTCTTCATTGTGCCCACATCCTTCTGCTTCTCTTCCATTTCTTTACAACTTACTTGCTCTTCTTAGTGGTACCTGGAGTCTCTTGAGTGTTTGAAGTCTCAGGAGGGATCTCAGGAGTGCTAAGCCTCACCTGTGCATTACTGCACTGGGCAGGGTTCATCTAGGGCATGGTCTGCCTCCACAAGCCTCTGGAGCCCCGGACTGGTGGTCATTTTAGTCTAGCCCCTTGTATGTGCTCCATGGCACCAGTTTGGTGGTTATCTCTGGCTCGTTCCTCAACCAGCCTGCTTAGTGGCCCCTTGAAAGAGTCATCTGTCTCTGGCTTGCTCTTTCCTGGGGCCCCACAGTCCCGGGTGGGGTTCTTCTAACCTCTGGCTTAGTGGCCTGCTTAGTGGCCCCTTGAAAGAGTCATCTGTCTCTGGCTTGCTCTTTCCTGGGGCCCCACAGTCCCGGGTGGGGTTCTTCTAACCTCTGGCTTGCTCCTGTCCTGGGAGCCTGGCCTGGCCTGCCTGGTGCCAGACTGGTGTCAGACTGGTGGTCATCTCCGGCTCATTCTTATCAGGGAATGTTAGGCTACTAATCATTCAGATGTTCTTAGTGAACACTAAGCGTATTCATATCCCCTCTCCTCTCTGCCACCTAGCGACAACAAGTGGTACAGCAGCCACACTTGCAATGTCTCTGGGGCAGGAGCATCCAGGATGGACTCTTCTGCCCTTATCTCTCCTTCAATGTAGACGTTCTGCAGGTTTGGTGCTAGGCTCTCTTTCCCTGTCCCCACTCATTTGAGGGTTATCTCATTTTGTCTTTTATTGTCATACCACCAAGCTTGCAAGGATGATTCCAAAACCTCTATCTCTATTGCGGCTTCTTTATGGGCCAGGCATCCTCATTTACTTCCTTTTGTACACAACCTCAGAAATGACAGGCTATTCCCTAAAACCTGTCTAATTCTGCTCTTTAATGCACATTATTGGAAGCCAGAATTCCGCCCCCCACCCTGCCTTGCATGCACCACGGGGATCCTTGTAATTCCACCCTGTCTGCTTCTCTCTTTCTCTGCCTCCTGCCTGCCTGACCCAGGCTTTTTTCTTTTTTCTCTACATTAGCAACAGATCATCTTCTCTGAGCGTTTTTCCTGCATCCAGCTTGACACTGTCCACTCCATACCTGACAGTGCTCCTGGAAGAATCCTCCAAAATCAAATCCCATGTGACACTTTCCCTGAATTCACTGTGCTCCCTGTCTCAGTTGAGATAAAATTAAGCACAGTAGTTAGATTGAGTTTCTCCATGGCCTGAATTCCTTAGCTGTAGTCTCATCATTGGTTGAGCCTCTTCCTAGGTTTTAGAACAATGACGAATGCTAACCTTGACTTTCCTAAGCTATTTGGAATTAATGGGTGTTGTCTCCTTGAAAGACATTGGACTGTTCACCTTTGTCTTTCTTAACTAATTCACAGACACTTAATAATACCTGTACTGGACTTTGCTTCTTCTTTAACCGTCCTGGCGGGAGTAAAGATAGTCTAAGAAGAGACTCTTATCTTTCCATTCCTCTATCAGACTAATGAAACAGTGGACAGCAAGAAATTGAAATTCCCATGAGGGTCTTAGGCTAGAAGATGGAAAAGACTAGAACAGTTTGTCTGTCAGAAAAAGATTTGACACAACCCTGGCAGCTCATGAGACCACTTTTCGGGATATGCTGGAGCCAAGACGGAGATGATGGGCAGCTCTACACCTTACCAGGATGGCTCAGCCATGTGTTCTTCTTGCTTTCTGTTTAAACCTATATGTCACGTCAGTCACCTTGATGAACTTGAGGGGAACTGTCACTGGATCCTGTGTTCTTCTTTCTGTTATTAAACTTGAGGGTTAGGGTACAACCTGTGCTTAAATCAGATCATCACCCATCTTCAAGAAGCCAAGTTAGAAGTGAAAGCAGAAGACATACATATTCAGTGTGGCCTCGCAGGGGATGGGGGATGAAGAGATCCAGGGAATCCATTTCCAGAGTCCTGACATGAGATTGAAGCTTAAATAGAGAGTCAGGGATGCGTACATCTAAAGAGTCCCACCTGCCCTCAACCCAACATTGTCTGGGCTTCTGTCTCATCCTCTAAGAACTATGTAGTTAGAACTATGTGAAATCTTGGCCAAGTTCTTCCTCTTGATGCTTCTTTTTTATTTTATTTTATTTTTTTCTTCTTCCATCATGAGTGAGATTCCCGGAAAAATTCTGTTTCTTTGAGAATTTTTTGTCATTATTCCAACAGTCTAATAGTAAGATCCAGAGACACGGTGCTTCTTTAAAATGTCTTCATTTCTGTCAGGCCTTTTACATTTCCAGTGTGGTCATATCACCCAAATGTTTCCCTGGACATGGTGTCATACTTTTGTAGAGATAAAACAGGAGGATCAAAGTTAAAGGTCATCCCTGGCTACATAGCAAATCTGAGGCCAGCCTGAGCTTCTTGAGACTCTGTGTCAAAAACAACAACAACAACAAAAACAAACAAACAGATAGATAAAAATACCAGGCAAGCAAAGCAGTTACAGCAAAGTTGCAGCAAAACAGGGACATCTCTGCTATAGATCTCAGAGCCTGATGACATCCTTAGCCTTTGAATTGGTGAAAGCCAGTGGTCTGTTAAGTTCAGAAAGGGTTTACCTAAGAATCATCAGATAGGAACTATTAAGAGGGCTAAAATTAGCCCAAAATAATTTGGCTCTTGACCTATAACATTCCAGCTTCCCCACAACCGCAGACATTTTAATCAGTCAGTCATCCTTAGGGAATCTTTTAAAAAGTTTTTTTTAAATTAGATTTATCAGTTTATTTTATGTGTGAGCTTGTTGTCTGCACACGTGTCTGAGCACCACATGCATGGAGGTTAGAAGAGGGTACCAGATCCCCCCCTGGAGCTGGAGTTAGGAATGGTTGTGGACCACTACACAGATGCTGGGAATCGAATCCAGGGCCTCTTCCATAGAAACTAGTATTTTTAACTGTTGAGCCATCTCCCTAGCTCTGGAGATGCCTCCCTCACCCTAAATTGTCAGTTCATCTAGCATACTGGAGATCACAGCTTACTTGCATGGATTTCCCTCTCAGGCTGGGGTTCTCTACAGGCAAAGGCTGTGGATACACACACATCCCTGTTGCCCTCTTCTGTGTCCTCTTTTAGCACAGGTGCTTAATTTCCCTTTCTCACCCCTATAAAATATCTTAGGAAAGAACAGTAACTATAATGAGGGAATGTTGTTAGATGCCATGCTAGGTTTGGGGGTATGGATAGCAGAAATTCATGGTTTCTCTCTTTTAGGAATGTGTGGCTCAAAAACTAGAGAAATGTTCCTGAATGTAATCTCATATAAGATGTAAGCACTGAGAACCAGGCATCAAAATGGGGCTTTGGCTTAGCTGGAAACAAGAGCCATTACTTCTAGTAAGATTTGGGTATGGTGGTGGAGTCCTTTAACCCCAGCACTGAGGAGGCAGAGGCAGGCAGATCTCTGAGTTCAAGTCTAGCCTAGTCTACAGATCGAGTTACAGGACACCCATGGCTATACAGAGACACCCTGTCACAAACAAAACAAAAGAAAACAAAAGATTTGGGATAGGAGATTAAAAGGGAGGAGATTGTCTCCTTCTGAACTGGGACCTGGAAAATGAAAGGAACAGTAGCCTTTTCACAGGGGATGAGAGTTAGGTGAGGGGGTGGGGGTGGGGGGTGGATGGTGAAGCAGGGGCAAAGAGACTATGTAGAGGTAGTCAATAGAACATGTACACTGTGTGGTTCATGGAAAGAACTGTCTCATATGTTTGGTATGGACTGGATGAAGAGATAGGGATGCTGAGGGATACTAGAAATTAAATTTAAAGTGCTACTTCGGTCATCTGGGCATAATGCAATGCTCTGCAGGGGTTGAGTAGAGGAGCATATCCTTGCATGCCTGGGATATTATGCAAGAGGCAGGGAATTTGCCTTCTGTCTGGAGAACCCATCTTGGAGACAGTCAGGTAGTTTATCTCCTGTAATGACTTCTGCTGAGGTGCAGCATGGTAGACTGGACCCAGCTAGCATCAGGCCTGGGTGAGTGCTGCTTGCTTCTTGCTTGGCCTCATTCCTATGCTTGAGCCCTCTTGTCCTCTGTGTCTTATTGTCCTAGCCTTGCCCCTGTCTCTTTGCTATCTCCATAGCTCTGTCCTCTCCCATAAGTGCTGATCCTCCCTCCCCCCACCATGCTTTACTTAAGTAATTTAATTTTTTCATTGCCCTCATCTTTCTGTTTCTGAGCTGTTGAGTCTTTGTCTTTTCTTCTCACTTATTCATACATCTTTTCTTCCTATCACTATCCTTTTTACTTAGCAGCTGGAGTTCAGGGAGGAGTCAGGAGATACACAGGACAACTAAAAATGAAGCAGAATACCAAGAAACTTGTCTGACTCCTGCCCAGAATGGATCATCTCTGTCATTTCCCCCTATCTCCTCATTGTTCCCTAACTGACCCTGACTGTTGTCCTCATGCTTACAGGAGAATGCCTCTAGCACTCATTCCATACTTTCTAGGCAATAAGACATTTTCTTAGACAGATCCAAAGCATAAGCAATCTTCTCTAGTGGGTGTTTGCCCTCTGCTGTCTTATTTGCCACAAGTGTGTTCTCCACCAAAGGCCAAAGGACTTCCGGGAGGGAGAAGGGAACCATATTTATGTGCCAGGTTGGTACATCTGTGGTGATCTTTTCCATGTAGTGAATGACAGAATTACGCACTTCCTCTATTGCAAAATACCCAGTATAGCTCTGGAAGAAACTGTTGGAGCCTGAGGACAGCATATCTGTTAGCTTCACGCAGAATCATTTCTAGCTCTCATCTCCCCCACCCCAACATCCCATGACTAATAGATAAAAATCTTTGAAGTCTATTAACTTAGCAGACCACCAATCCAAAGGCTAAGAACGTCTTCAGAGAACATCCGAGGAGTATCAAAAAGCAACCCCTCATTTGCCCTAACCCTCTTTCTGATCTAGCCGCCAATGAATTTTAAACTTGCTTTTAGGACTTTCTTTGTTCTTCAAGCAATAAAACTTCATAAAACCACCTCCATGTTGGAACATGGAATTGTGTTAACCCAAAGCTGTGTTCCCAGGCCTTAGTTACTCAAAATGACTCGGGAATAAGCTACCTCGTATTCTGTTTAAGGAAAGAGCTGGGACTTTAGCATCAACAGTACACAGATTTAGACTCCCCAAAATTCCATGCTTCAATATGGCGACGGCTTGAAAATTTTTTATAATAACAGAACAAAGAAAATTATAACTCAAGGCTCTAAAAAATACATTGATGGAAACATGAAGTAGGTGGGTTATAGCAAAATGGAGAAACCTCTATTACAGATTACAAATACCTGATGGTATTCCTGGCCTTTTGATTGCCAAAAAACTAGGTTTATTAAGTTAATAATTTCAAAAAAAGATTTTTTTTTAAAATTGTTAGTCAACGGATGTTAGGTCCACATAGAAGTAGGCAAAAACTGGCTATTTAGGGAGCTAAAGATAGCCAAAGCTAAGTTGTAATTAGGCCCTGGACCTGTAACTTTTTAATGTCTCCACAGTAATTGAAGTTCTAACTGTTTAATTGCCTGGTAGAAGGTTCAGCTGAGGGTGCAAGTTTTTCCTGGAAT